TAAAGGCTAGAGCATTTCACTCAAGCTTTTAGTTAATTAAAAAAAAAAAAAAAAAAAAAAAGGTCATAAAACTAAAAACAAATTTGTAACGAGCCACAAAACCATTTGACTCGTCCATTTCTGAAGTCCTATTATATCATTGACTTGCAATCAAGTTGTTACTCGAGCTTCAAGATTTTAACGTCCGAATGCTTTTCCATTTTCTCGATCAGTTTTAGTTTAGAAAGAAAAAGTCAAAGGTTAACATGCATTTGTTGCGAGTTTATTATATTATACGTTTAAACAGTGATTAACCACATACCCTAGTGTGACTGGAATTACCAATCCACAGGTTGGAGTTAGAGGTGAAGAAACCAAGTAAGTGTTAAATTGAAAACTGTATAGAATAGCCTAGCTACTCTGGTGATAGCCATAAATAGCGTCAATACTAAATACTGTTGCTGAATCATACTCTCCAATTCACTATTGACCCAGCACTCCCTGCAACTTTAATGCATTAAAAAGAAAAATGAATGGTATTGAAGGTTTTGGGCAGAGTGTTACTGCTATTTTAGACTTTAGCCAAAAACCATCTGTAGATGACAGAAATTGATGTTGCCTATGCTTAAGGTTTGTTAAAAAATTTCCAGACAGTTGGACCATAAGCCATAAATTGCCCCTTTTAATTTTGGCTATTGTCTTTATTTTTGAGCTGAGTATTGGAGTACCTCATAGACAGCTAATTGAATGCAAGTCTTATAACATCATGGTTTGTAGAGATATGCAGAGATTTCCGGACCAGCAGACAGGGAAAAAGAAATTCTGCAGTCATAAATTTAGAGTTGGGCTGAATTTAGCTATTGTCAGATCAAGGAGATGAACAATATAAACACATTACAGATCGTACCCAAAAACAAGATTTCATTCTAACTTCTTTTTAATAAGAGTGATATTTGGGTCAGCTTATGCGCATCTAGACTATTTCAAGGTTCAGGTAGGGGTAACTCTGCTAACCAAAGTTTAAACAAATAGGAAGTAATCACTTACCGGTCTTTGTGTCTTTCAAGATTTGAACCCTGTTCTCTCATGGTTTTCACTTGTTTCAATGAATGCTAAGCCACATCCCCTCCTAAGTAATCGTTCCTAGATAAATTTTTTATCTTTAATTCAAAGCTTGGCAACAGATATAAGTTCAATGCTTAAGAACAGGAACCTAATGACACTTTTGTCCAAGGAGCAAACCTGGAACCTGTATCTGTTTAACATTTACCAGCAGTTCTTTGGGAATATGATATAAACAAGTTTTGCCAATGACCAGCCTGGAGCTATGTGATCTACACACAGGTGCAACACTTCAGTGGTCAAAATTGAAGTGTCATTAGCTTGACTAGCATTCACTCAAAGAAATGAGAAAGGGGTTGAGAGAACAATATTCTCAATTCATCAGAAACAATTCTTTCCACTTAGCTCACCAGAATCACTAACAATATCAATAAAATTCATAAATTTCTTCCTCCAATTTTCTATCTGAAGATTTTCATTAAATGCAAGCTTACCCTCTTTCTCTCAAAACTTGAAGGTAGCAGCACAAACTTTACACAAGCTAAAGTAACACCGTCTTAGGGAACACTGTTAAGGAATCATAAATTTAGCGATAATATACTTGCTATTCTTTTCGTCCAAAATGGCTGCATGTGCTCGTTTTAAATAACTCATCAGTCTGCAGCACGAGCACTGTCAGTACCAGATGCTAATTGAGCTTACAATGTGCATCTTAGAAAAGCTATATGGTGTTTTGGCATCTTCAGGAGATTGAAACCACATTCATAGGCTGAATGTTTTTCAGATAAGTCAAACAACTAGAAGAAATGGAAAAGGAAGACCGACTCTAATTTAAGAAACTAGTGGACTCATCACTAATTGACATGATATGCTAATTAAAACGCACAGAATTGAATAAAAAAGGCAGCCCGGTGCACGAAGCATCCCGCATTCACGCAGGGTCCGGGGAAGGGCCGCACCCTAAGGGGTGTGATGTAGGCAGCCTACCCTAATACAAGCATCAGTGGCTGATTCCACGGCTCGAACCCGTGACCTGTAGGTCACATGGAGACAACTTTACTGTTGCGCTCCCCTTCAAAAGGCACAGAATTGAATGCTCTAAAAAGTTTAATCAAATGTTCTAAAAAGTTTAATTTCCTGAAACTATTTATTGTAAGAAAAAGAATAAAGAAAAAAAAGTTTAGTTTGTTGAAACTAGGGTAAAGGAAGAAGGATGCGTGCAGGCAAAGCATCGAAAAGTATGCTAAGTCCTATAAAAGTTGTTTCTTTTAGGCAATGAGTCATTTAGCAATTGGCTTCATATTGTTTATACGCAGATACCCAGAGACCAAAACCATGTTGTATTCAAATGGCTCGCCATCATGATTTAAAGGCCAAATGCCAGAAATTCCAAATCAAACCATAAGAAGAAGAATAATCTTGTGGTAACATCTACAAGGTCTCGGGACAGATTTCCCTTCCCCAAAATAAGCAAAAAGGAAATCAAAGAGGCACTTCAAACTTATTAATCAACAAAAAATCATCTGTCCATAATGATTTGACATAGTGCACATGCCCCGGGGAGTCTCATTTTCATGTACATGTCAATTTGGTGATGCATGCCACAATGTAACAGATACAACTAGTTAAAAGAAATATCCTTATAGGCACCAAAACACTTTCTTATATTCACTTCAAGTTACTACCATTTTTCCTTTTTCCTCCAAATGGGATAGAACTTCAAACGTCACAACTCACAACTCAACTCCATCGAGAAACGATGAACAGTTCAACTTGAAACCACTGTAACTCTCTGAAAACTCTCGTGTTTCAAGGACCAAAAAGTAATAGTTCAACAACTTGGTTGACAAATACTGCCCAGCTCATGTTCAGCCACTACTGGCTGACTGATTATATGAATTTTCCTACAGTACGTACCACAGTCAAACGTGTGCTATCGACCTTGCCAGCCAGTTATTGATGAAACTCCCATGATTGAATTTGCAGCCCTTTCCATCCTGAACAAGAAAAAACTGTTAGCATCTTGACCTATTTCTGGTGAATAATAAACAAAAGAAAGGAAGAACAAAAGAAAGATAATGGGTGTAGAAAGTACTTAGAGATTTCTTCAACTGCCTTCACCACTTCTGAAGAGTTTGTCTCAAGAACTTGACCTCCCAAAATAATCTCATCTAATACAGCATGCACCTACAAAGCCTCAATACATCAGCAAACTCTCAAACATGAAAATTGAAGTTACTGAAGTTAGGATGTCAATGCTAATAAGAACTTATCGACAGGCCAATCTCTTCTTTGTTCTTGGATAACTTACAACCTATTCCTAAGAAGAGTAGTAGTAGTACTCAAATTCATAAAGTAAAACCTATCAACTGACCTCAAAAGAAGTAAACTCCATGTCTATGATTCACCACCCATCATTTCTTATATCTCAAATCCTTGGTGCATCATAAAATTAACTTGCTCTAAATCTAATAAACTTAAGCATCCCTTCGTTTCTAGAAGGGCCCACTTACTACTAAATCATTTAGCCATGCTTCTTAATCAATGTTATTTTAGGGACAGTTGACTTAGTCCAGTTGAGATTTTTGGCAATTAAGACAGCTCCTGAGGTCTTAAATATTAAGGACACCCGAAGTTTTAGTGCAAGTAACAAACTAAATCACAAGTTTCTCATCCTTGATTATGTCAAATGCAAATAAGACAGTTGTCCTCTGATATAAAACCCAAAGGAATCAGATCTCAGAACAACTGCATGCCTTTAAATGATACATGCTTCGTGATACTAAAACAAAGAGAGATGACCGACTGACCTTGTTAAAATTGAATACTATATCAAGTTCACGTACATTGCTGAAACATTTGTCCATTGCCTCGACAAAAACTGAAATTGTCAACAACATATCAAGGTAGTAAATCTTGGAGGCCGACCATATGTGCATTAAAGTAAAAATCCAATGCTTGGAATATGTTCCGGACTTCTAAACCAGGTTGTTAAATCGTGTTCAGGTATTCCATCATAAGACAATGCAAATGCACACACTTATTATATGAACAAAAACATAGAAAAGATTAGCAGTAACCAATTAATTCCTGCCTTTCCAATGAGACCTATAGACATAGTTCAACTCCCAAAACATTAATGCAGCACTCCGTCCAAATTTTAGATCTTGTTAAAAATTGGTACTGCATAAGCACTTACACAGACATGGATCTCAGACCGCCATAATATATAAAATGCTCTAAGTACATATTTCTTCTCATATACCATATCTGTACTATTTTAGTAAGGGGAGACATGTTTGCTAAAGTTTCTTTACAGCAAGTAGCACTTTTTATTCGGTTTTAGTATTTTGCAGCCAGCCGAAACAAGCAAGAAATCATTTTAAAGCCTCAGGACGAGTTTGTTTCCTCTCAAGAGTTTTGTGCCTGAACTTATCAATACAAAGGAAGAAAAGCAAAAATAGTTCAAAAATCTATCAAAGAAGAGAGATTTAGCTCTTTGAATAACTTAAATATAATTCCTCCTTGGATAATGAATACTCTAACTTCCGCGGTTCTTCCATTAAACAATCTATTTTACTAAATGATAACTTCAAAGTTAAAGGTATCTGAATCGGCATGACCAGAGCCTGAGTATATACCTTGCATGAGATCAAGCATTGCAAGCTCATTTTCGGAGCTGTCAAATATGAATACAATATGTAGTGTGGCATAAGTCTTGTATACAAGCCGAGTATCCTGCATGTGCGGAGGCACAATATGTGAATCTTTCTAGGTTTTTCTTATGTTTTACATGTATTTTGAGGGATAATAAATACAATAAAGAAACCAAACTCAGAGAGATACAGAGAGAGTAGACAGGAAAAACACATACTGATCCAAAGAGGGAATCAACCTTGACGAAGTTGCTTACATTCTCTGCTCTACTGCTTAAAACTGCACTTCAACACAAAATTGTCACAAAAAAAATGATTCAAAAGATATCAACAGTATACAAATCACCACATAGAAAGAAAAAAAATATGAAACTGGCAGTGCCATAGAATCATTTTCTAAAACCTGCCACAGTAAAAATGAAATGGGTTATTATGGAATACAGTTACAACCCAATCAATATGTATAAAGATTCAAAAATTCAATCTTTATTCTTTATTTTTAAAAAAAAAAGACATACTAAAATAAAACGAAGAAAAAAATTAAATGTAAGTAGAACCTCCGAAAATTCTTCGAATAAGCTCTTGTTGTTTCTCTGCAGGCTAACCTTACATTTCAAGTAACAATTGATTTAAGAAAGAAGTAAATTCACAAAAATATAAATAAAAAACGAGCTTTAATATATTGTTCTTCCTTTTTTAAAAGTAAAAGGGTTAAGGGAGACTGACATGATAATCGTAGAATTTGACAAGACGAGGCTTGCCCTTATCATTCATTACGATTACTCCCTTTATCATCCTTTGATTGATTCCAATTTTCAACTGATCGTCTCCTCTGTGACTGCTTCTAAATCTTGGCGATTCTAATATTGCGTATTGCTTTGTGTTTGGTACTCTTTTATGTTTTGATTATTACAGTTACACACCCTAAATGTGGTGAAATGCATATTCGAGCACCAGTAATTTTTTTTTGTGTGTGTAATTATCGTTATTATTCTATGCTTAGGGTGACAAATTCTAAATTCAATAGCGTTGCCCAAATTGAATTTTGTTTTCTTATTAATTATGTAACACAAATATTTCCTATACCTTTCTTGAACATTTCTACCCTGATTTTCGGGTCAATTGGTTTTTTGGCCTTTTACAAACTTATTTTTAGTTTTATGACCCAACCTCTTTTTTTTACACATAGGAGATTTACTTTTACACGTAGGAAATCTTTCTTTTACACGTAAGAGATCTAAAAAAGATATTTTCTTAAATTCAACATTGTAAAAGGTCTTGTAGGCCTAAAACCTCCTGATTTTCTAGGTTTGATCCTAGTATTTGGAGTTGTCATGTTTTCGTAGTTAGAAGCCTTTTTTTGTATTTTAATTATCACATAGTATTAACTATGAAGTGAATATATAATAATACACCCAAACAAAAAGTATTTAAGTTGTCAAAAACTTAATACTCACTTTAGTTTAATTATCAATAATTTCACCAATTACTACTTAAAACATATATGATTTCCTAATCTAATTCAAAAAATATTGAAATATAATGCAAACAAAAAATTTACAATGCAATGTGCTCTTTATATTTCAATCGTTAGTTTTAGCTCTTAATCGTACTGTTTTATTTTATACACCACTTTTTAAAAAACGCACATTTCTGTGTCGAATAATTCGTAATTTTAAACTCTCATTTTAATTTTAATGGCATGATCTTATAGCCATAAAAATTGCATAACATATTGAATATCTTAAGTTCTAATGATACCTTTGTACTAAATTTTTTAACATTCTCAATCAAATGTCGACATATATAAGATAAATGGTGAAGGTAATTTATTTCAAATGCGCGAGTGAAATTATAACTACATGTTTGTGAAATGGTAAATACTCACTTCTTCATAGTAAAATAATATTAAATAGCATAATTATCAAGGCGATAATTTGAAAAGCCTTACGATCCCAGGTGCAAATTATATTGTTTTCTCGTACTCAAGTATAGTTTCGACTAACTTCTTGGGCCCCTTCTTCTTTTCACTATTAGCTTTAGCTTAACTATAACGAGATATTTACAGAGCTTTATCCAAATTCGAATTTCCTCCATTGAAGATGCTCTGTGAGCTTCATCACCATCATTTCTCTTTCACTCCACAATCCATAAACCAACATCAAACTACTCTACACACCATTATACACTTCTCTCCAAAAAAACATCGTCTTTTTCCCATTTTTTCCACCCACCACCCCAACCAGCAACCCCGCCACCTTAAAAACCAAGAATCTGATACCAACACCACCACTACCTTAAATAGTGAAAAGGGTATCACTCGAAAACACAATTCAAAATCCTCAGCTGTACTCCTCCGTTACCTCTCATCAAATGATAATAAACCGGAAGCATACCAAGAACCAGTTGCCGGTTCAGCTGAACCGGAGAAGCAAGAATGTGCTGTACTAGAAGAAGATAAAGAGAAGGTTCTAGAAATGTCATTAATAAGGAAAAGAACCCCTCAGTTTCCAGGTTCTATTTATGTTCAATCAAATATTTCCTCTTTGTTTGATTCCAAAAGAGGGAGTGGCTTTAATGATGATGATGATGAGATGTTAATTAAGGCACTTGAGATAAGGAGGAAAGTGACAGTTGAGATTTTTAAAGAAGCAATGAGAAAAGGCAGATTTGGGATTACATATTCGACGAATTTGGTTTCATATTTGGATGATTTTATAGATTTTGTGATGATTCAAGCTGCTTCAATGAAACAAATGCCTGAGTTCTTGGATTCGTCATTCAATGTTCGTGCTAGAGCCTTTATAGATGAGTCCGGTGTCGTGCCAATTGTGAGGTACAACAGATTATGCACATTGAATTTTGACTTCACACATTTTGCTCACTGAGCTCGATAATAAAATCTTATCCTTGCATTATTTTCATTGTAAATAAGACGTTTGGTTTCTGGTATAAACCTCTGCATTAAAAATAGAACTTTTGTTTTACATTACAAGAATCTATATATAAATAATATTTGCATAATTTACGCGTGAGTCTAGGGATAGAATGTAGAATAAGAATATATATCATGAGAATAGTAGGAAAGGTTAGTTTCTTGACTTAAGTATCACAATCTCTGTACGACAATTCATGTACTATTATTCATCAAATAGCAATTTCATGCATTATTTACCGTGTAAGGATCCATGTATTACAAACATTGCATAACTAGTGTGTGAATCAAACTACTCCTACATATCTTGCAGGTGGTTGAAACACAATGCATTGTCATATCCGCAAATTGCAAACCTCATTTGCAAGTCCGGAGGAAATCTTGAATCCATAAGACGTTTGGCTGAGTGGTTGAAGTCGATTCATGTGAAGGGAAGATTTATTGGGCTTGTAATGATTAGATCTAAGGAGAATGTATTAGGTCGGAGCTTGGAAGAATTGGATGAGATCGTTGAGTACTTGGAGAACAAAGGAGTGAAGAGAGATTGGATAGGGTATATTGTAGGCCGATGTCCTGAAATATTGTCCTTCAGCACGGAAGAACTAGAGTCCCGTACAAAGTTCTATTTTGATATGGGAATGGATGAGAAGGATTTTGGAACAATGGTTTTTGACTATCCTAAGGTGATTGGCTACTTCTCTATGGAAGAGATGAACCAAAAGGTGTCTGCTTTAACTCATTTCCTCCCAATATTCATTGATATATATGCTTTCTTGTGTTTTCCCTTTGTGGTGTAAAATGAACTGAAGAATCATCTAATTAATGTTTACGGCATGTCACTTGGGTGATTTAAATTTTAGACTGCAAGCTTATATTCCCAATTTTTTCTTGGTGAAACATGACTCTTNATGGTTGCTGATTTTCCAATGCTACTAACATACAATATAGACATCCTTCGCCCCAAGTATCGTTATTTGCGACGGATGATGGTTCGGCCTTTGCAGGATCTTATTGAATTTCCAAGGTATTTCGCATATGTCCTTCCAATTTTATTTTATTTTTTAACGATAAAGTGCAGTATGCTATACGTTATTCTGCTGAAAGTGACATCTATTTTGCAGGTTTTTCAGCTATTCACTCGACGAAAGAATAGTTCCTAGACACAAGATTATGGTGGAGAATCGTATAAACTTCAAGCTTCGGTATATGTTGGCAAGCACAGATGATGAATTTAAACAGAGGGTTCATGCTGCTGTTGAAAGACGCTTAAGATTTGAATCCGGTGTCATAGATGATAAGGAGGCAGATACTCAAATCGATTGCTCCATCGAAAAGTTGCCTTTTGATTTTCAAACAGCTGAGATACTAGAAGAAAACGCAGATCTCTCATCTGATTACAAAGATTTACCTACTGCACATATTCAGAATTCTGCATAACATACAAAAATTGCATATAGAATTGTGATATAATTTGTTACGTACTTTTTTTCTTTCTTATTTGGTAGTTTAATAGGGATAATATTACTCAGCACATGCCCTTGAAAGATTTTGGATCTGAGATCACTAGATAACAGATTAACTACTTCTGTCAATCTAAGCCTGATATTTAAGATGGAATATTAGAAACTTAGAAAGTTTTCACTGCATCTTAGGTAGCAGGTAATTCGAGTGCGCCACTCACCAAGAGAATTGCATTAATGCAAACCTTTTAGTTGTCACTGTTAAATTGTACCAGTTATGCCTTTACTCTTATAGTTTGACGAACAAATAAAATTAACTATATGTTTGCTGCATAAAAGAGTTTGCAAGAAGTAGATCTGCGAGCTATGATATGTTCACCCGCAATCTAAGCAACCCCGGATTGCACAAAGTTTGCTAATCTGGTTCAAATTCATGATTATACAAGCAAGTATTATGAGGGGATTAAATGAGTCAAAATCCAAACTTGAATACAGCTTCCATCCATTTAAAATATATTCTTCACATTTGTATCAACAATCTCAACTGTATGTAGAAAATTGTCCATCTACAATAAATTCCGGTGAAAGTTGTCCCACTGTAAAACAAAAAATGACCTCAACTAGCTGGCCCTGCAGAAAAAATCTATCTCAAAACAATCAAGCATGTCGACGCGTGATAGAATGGACCCACAAGTCGAGAATGGTATGAGTTACTAAAGTCCAAGCCGGCATATTGGATTCTTTTTGAGTTCAGCTAGATCCACCTGCAAAAACCAACAGGAAGGTCAAACATTGGCATTGCTGAGAAATCCTACCAAAATATAGTTGATTATGTGCCAATTATACCTTGGGACCAAAAAGATCTCTGATGTTGTCATATCCATAGAGAATCATGGTAGGCCTGGTGCACGAATACAAGCAAAATAAGCTTCCATGAAGCATGTGTTCATAAATTTATTTACATGGAATGAGCAATATAAACAGAGCATGTAATTAGCATAAGTCATAACTACAAGTAGATCTTACACCACCGGTCAGGTTTTTCAAATTATAGATACATCCTTGTCAACTGATCAACCCACATGCAAGCAGAGAATTTTCATCCAAACCAACAAAGAGACCATCTACCCTCCCTCATGATTACTCAACTACGACCAGCTAATCAGGGTACTATAAAACTACCAACCCGTAGTTGTTCCTTTTCTCTCTCCCCCTCCTTCCCCTGCACCACTCTTCTCTTTCCATCTCAAGACATTACCAAGAGCTGCAAACAACTGCAGCAACTACACCAAAGCCAGAGGACTTACATTCAGAAACTATCGCACGCATTGCATGAGAGCACCTTAGTCATTGAGGCTTTGAAGTGTTCAGCAGTAAACAATTTGAGTACCATTAAAACCAAACTGACACCTTCTTTTACTCTTGCGACCCACTTCTGTTATGCCACAAATCTCTCCAACTTGCTATTAAACATGTAAATGATCCAAGGTTTTGAGACTAGAACTTTTCTATTTGATTTGAATAGTCACATGTTCGCACAAATAAGATGAATCATAGATACAAATTAACTTTGTGATCTTTCTTGCTACAGTCAGTGCTTTCAGGTAATATGGCTAATGAAAACAACGAATGCAAGTGTTCTTTTACTATGGTTATCAGTTTTCCTGACCGGTTAATTATTATTAAGTTTAAACATGAAAACAACTCACAACTCCATCAACATCACCAGCAATATAAGTACACAGCTAATTATTAAAATTTATAAATAAGAACATGATGCTGCTAACAGTTTGTGTACCTCTCAAGCGAAAGACCCCAGGCAATAACCCGAACATCTTCTGGAAGCCCCATGGGAAGCAGCATTTCAGGCCTAAACATACCAGAATTTCCAACTTCTATCCACTTCTGTAAACCTTCATGGTAGCTGACAAAACAAAAGAAAATGAAATTAATGCTGAGTTGAAAATTTGTGCATTCGCGTCACATATACTACTACAAACCTGAAAATTTCCATGCTGGGCTCAGTATAAGGATTATAAGCAGGTTTGAACCGAAGCTTGGACATTCCTGTAATTAGAAAAAGAAAAGAAATGTTAAATTAGCCCTCTCAAAGTTAGAAAGTCATGTAATTGAGTTGGACATGATGTTGCTGCAAGCTCTATCTTTTGTGTGAAACCCAAAACTTGATGCAGACATTTCTGTACCAAAAATAGAACACAAGCAAGAATACAGCATAGTGTTGATTGGTTACCTAGACGAGAAAAGAAGTCATGAAGAACACCAATCAGGTCACCAAGAGTAAGTCCACGATCACATATTAAGCCTGGAATGAGAAACAATGACAAAGAGTTCATGCAACTGTTAACAGGAACAGAACGCAGATGAAGAACAAGACATACTTGAACAATTACCAAACACAACATAGTTTCACACAGTATCATGTTTGAATATGAAAAGATAGCTATAGATGACCTATTTACACTACAGAATTTACACAGATGCAGAAACATGTTTCAGAAGTATGTGGACTAAAGGCTGCTTTTTGTAATTTTCTGTACCATCTTGGTAGCTTATTAATAAAATTTTACCTTATCAAGAAAAAAATATGTAGAATAAATCTAACTCAGGCTTCTGCTAATGCCAGTGTTAAACTCAACTTGGTAAGAGATCAATATGCTTTCAGTCTGATAGCATGTCAAGAAAGGTTAGCAGACCAACTGTACAGTCACTCAGTAAGTCATATAACATTCAAACATGAAATCTAAAAATAAAAACAAAGGTGAAATGACTTGCTAATTGAAAAAAGAAAGATCTTTTAGCTGGTAGACAGAATAGTTTCAGACTTTCAGTAACTTCCCAACCTTAGACGGAAGCTCCAACCCCACCCCCCAAATAAATCCTCTTCTTGGGAGCAGAAGATGTCAAAAACTCAGTAAGTTCACAAATCACAACTAAGAAAAAAATATCGAGCCCTAAATTCTATTCCCGCAATGTAGTACCTATCACCTGTCAGCTATGAAGCAAATACACCAAGTATAAAGCCAAATTTTGGCATCGTACTAATATATAGTACAACGAAAATAGTATCAAAAAGTCTTTGAATTATTGGAGATTGTGTACTTTTGGTTTACGACATAAAATTCTGCATTGCTAATTTAAGCTTTGCATAACTAACACACCTAGTTTTCGGCATAAAACTATTGATAACAAATGCAGTGTTTGGTATGTCTTAACCATGCATTACTAACACAACTTATGCGAGAATTTATGTATTATTTTATGCTTGAAAAAATAGAATAAGAAATACATGTATAAGCATATCTAAAGACAAAAGCCCTTTAAGTAGACAATCTCTACATAATTTATTTATTTTTTTAATCAGGAATCTCTAGATAACAATTGACGTAACAATCATTGTATTATTATTCACCATATAGCAATTCCTACATTATTATTCACCTAAATATCCTTGTAATATAATATTTTTATAACTAGTCCGTGAACCAAACTGATCCCTAGTTGTGATACGTGAAGGTAATTGCTCTTTGATAATGGGGTGTCAGTCTGTCAGGGTAAGTGATAGAAATACTTGGACCTACCTTGCCAACTTAAAACAGAAAGAAACCAAGCAATGCATCATACAGTATCTAAAGGAAGGCTCATCATAATTCTACCATGAGGAACACAGCCAATTGACAAATCAGTTTTGCAGGCACTTCAAGGACCAGTCTCTATTCTAAGCTTAAGGTGTGGTACCATAGAAGCAGCAAGAGCAGAAAAAATATATATCAAGGAACCCGTAAAATATGGATGCGACACAAAATTGAATAATTATAAGTAACCTTCTATCTGGTGAAATTCAGCAAGATGTGTCTTATCAACTGCTTCATTTCTGAAAACACGATCAATAGAATAGTATTTCTTGGGGGTGAACGGCTCCTGCAATAAGATGTCATACGGATAATTAAAAACCTCACTATGTAGAATATACATGAAATATTGATTCTGGATATGGCGAGCGATTCGGACCTGAGCTAATGCACACAACATTCTTGACGAAACAGCAGTAGTATGTGTCCGCAAAAGATTCTTGTTTGCTTCCTCTCTTTTCCAATCACACCCATATCTAAGCAAGAAGCATCATTAAATACTGTACGTGGGTGTCAAAACCTTGACACAAATGTGGGTGACACTGAATTCAGGATCAGCAGTATTATACCATACCCCCTAGATTGGTAACCACCAGATTCATGAACTTGTTTTACGCGCTCAACATAATCTTCTGGAAGCATCTTTGTAGTGGAAGGTACTACAAAAGTCAAACAAATAGTTCATTAGAAGAGTATCGGATGAAGTGGATAAAATGTAAAAGTCAAACTAACCTTTCAAAAAGAATGTATCATGGGAATCACGGGCAGGGTGCTGTTGTGGCTGGAAAAGTGCATCAAAGTTCCAAAAACTGCAAGTATGATCAGCCACATTGATGTAACTTCTTTCAGGACTAAGACAAAAAGTAATTCTTGAAATTTTTTACAGGGAAGAAAATGACAGTGCACAAAATCACCACTAAGTATATATCAGAGAAGAATCACATGTAAATGGTATACCGTGTATGATGGCAAGTGAACTTTAAGGTTTAGTATCAATTTAAGTTTGAAAGGTCTTTTTCTTAAAGGAGTTTGAGCTTGAAAGCTCATGAGTGTTCAGTAGCTATAGTTTACCATCTATGTTCAACAAATTTGATTGTTCACCAACAGAAGCTCATGAATGTTAAACATGAAAAAATAGTACCAGTATTTGGCAAATGCTTTACAGCAGAAAGAGATAAGGTACTTTGAGACTGCCTTATGTACTAGGAACTTTAGCAAGTAAAATGACAATAGCCAAAACATGCAGTTCTAATTGAGAACAAAGTAGGATTTTTATTCAAATATTTACATATCAACCTCTTCACTAGATCCATGCGAAGGAAATGTCAGTCGGCTCCATTTATTTGGACAAAAGGAAAATAACCTAACAACCCTTTTCTTTGGGAATTCTATCTATTCCCTCGATTATAACAGGCTCACTTGTATTAGGAAAAAACTAACAGAGGATAATAGCTTACCTGCTTTCAACATAATTATTTGTTGGCATCTCCTCAAACCTGCAATCATAGTCCACAACAAAGAACTCCCAAATAAATA